GCTTGAATGCTTCAATTTGGACCAAAAGCCCTAAAAGACAAAAGGTTGGCTTTGTCAGATGAAATTTGTATTATGTGAATTCAACTGTGTGATCTTTAATGAATTTGCATCTTTGGACTTCTCAAACATCCTATATAGGCTCCAAGGATGTATATGAACATGTTGAATCATGTCCCAAGTCTTGGGATCATGCTTGGATCAAAAGTCAAAGACACAGTTGACTTTTCTTGACAAAACCCTAATTTGGGGCCAGATGAAATTGGGCTTCAAAGAACTTGGATTGAGACCAATTTGCATTTGATTCTTGTTGAATATAAACTCCTTGAATGTATGGTAACTTGATTTGATGATGACCAATCCAAAACATTGACTGATCAGGCACTAGCCCTCTTGATTCTAGAGATGCAAAACCCTAATTCAGATGAACCTTAATAATAACAAACTTAAAACAAAGTTTGGGGTTAAGAAATAATTCTTGATGCTCCTAGAATATTGATGGAATCTAGGGGTCAAAATTTGGGGTATGAAAATTACACATTTGCTCAAACCACATTCATTTTACATTTATGACGTATGACGTGTAATTTTGTTATGTTTTTGTTTTATTTTTTAACAAAAGATTCACATGCAAATTGAATGTTGTCTTGCCTCAATAAACCTATATCACTCCTCAATGCATTGTTATTCCAACAGTCACATTGAAAAACCCATATAACTACCTCTATCTTCTCACAACTTCCCATATAACTGCGTGAATCCAACGATTTAAGCATAGTATTTGTTCTACATATAGTAGAAATTATTTTCGTTCCATTTCTCAGCCGCAAAAGTTAATCATCCATACTGAGTTTTATCATCACGCGTGTAAGTTTCTCAATCTTCATTTTGCTGATATTATCATCTTTTTCATCATCCATAAAAGTTTTGCCTAATCCATACTTACTTTGATTATATGATATTCCTTTCTGCCAAAGTGAGTTTTATCATTACGCATATAAGTTCATGATCTTCATATGGTTGTTTCAACTTTGATATCAATTTATGGCTCTTCCTGTTAAAGCTATCAAGGACATCGATGACTCAAAGGTTTTATGGAAGATAGTCGTTCGGTATAAGCATCTATGGCCTGTGACAAGTGCTTCCAACAAAGAGCACATAGAGATGGTTTTGGTTGATTCAAAGGTATGATAAATGGGTCATGTATGTTTTTTACCATTAGAACATGTTTTTCTGTAATGTAGATTTTTTATAATCGTTTTTTTGTAGCATGATATGATTCAAGTTATTGTCCCATCGCATTTGGTTTCGAAGTTCAAGTCAGGACTTGTTGTTGGAAGTTCTTACATCATGTAGAATTTTAAAGTTTCAAGTAATGATTTCTCTTTTAAGTCCACTACTCATAGATACAAGCTGGTATTTTGTGGATCAACTTTGGTTAAGAAGTCAGAACTTTCCGACATCCCTGTAAACTATCTCAACATACTTGGGTTGGCATCCATAGTTGAGGGAAGGTTTCGGTCTAACCTGTTAGTTGGTATGTTAATCGTATATTTAATGTTATTTTCGTTACAATCAGAATATTGTTTAAGAAACTTACCAACTGATGATTTATTTTGTTTGGTTAGATATTGTTGGAGGAGTTATTGAGATTTCTCAATCCCAGATAAATACTGGTAACAACAAGAACAAAGTTGTTTTTACAATAACTGATATGAGGTATGTTGGATGTCCTTGAATGGTTGCTGCTATTTTCCAAACATTTTGTGGTTTTACTGAGAACTTAGATTTTTTTTCTTATTAAATGTTGACCCGTGTCTTTGGTACCAGCAAATCTTTGGTACAATGTACTTTATGGGGTCAGCTTGCGGTACAGTTTTACAATTATTATAAAACTCATAAGAAAGATAACAATATAATTGTTCAACTACTCAACACAAGGGTTAAAGAGGTTCAAGGTATTTATGTTTTTTATATTTGGAATGTATACTATGATACCATTTCAAAATACAAGTATTTATCATTATGTTGTTTAAATCGAATTAATATAATACATTCGAAAATTACAGGAGGTTTTCCGTTGAACATATCCAATGCATGGAACCACACAAAGTTAATGATTAATAATGTTACCGTTGTTGAGATAAAAAAGCTAAAAGAAATGTACTTTTGTGGTATTACTTCATCATCCTACTCGTGTATTTGGTATTGTTTTCGAATTTGTGCTAAAAATTTGATGCTAAACATGGCAGTCTTAAAGGTGAATTGCCTTTGTCATCTTCTTCAAGTCTTCAAGTTGAGCTACCTAAAACTCACATTATTTTGAGTTTGATAAGTTTGTCTGGAAAGTCGAAATATTAAGTCTTGTTGAAATTACGAGTCTTTAACATGTAAGAAAGCTTTACAACCATCTTTATTTTATGCATCTACGAAGTATGACTTACCTTAAGATAGTAGAAAACAATTTCCAATCGAATTGATCAAACAACGAAGAAATCGATAAATTGCGTAATTAACAATAAAAGAGATAAAAAGATAAAAGAGAGAGAGAGAGAGAGAGAGAGAGAGAGAGACCAAGATTTGTTTAGGCATTTCTTCAATCGGCCTCGCTATGGGCACATGTGCCCTCCATTCAAATCAAATCGAGATAGTGCTATTAACATTTTCTTTGCAAAAATATTTATACAAGAGATAAAAAATACAAACCCCAAAAATCCTATTGTTTTGTGTTGATTCTTCCACCTCCGACCCTTTATCAAAGCTTGATCAAGTAACTAATAATGCGGCTACATTCCTCCGATTATCCCGAGAACACAACTTGTTGAAACCCGAGATTTCCGAACACAATTCATCGTCTCGTGCTACTCCCTTGCAAGGAAACCACCTTGTCCAAAGACTTTCACTTGATCGAATCTATGTTGACGTGATCTCGTCCAAAACCTTCAAATCAACATGATCTTGAAGGAAAACTTCACCTTGATTTTCTTATTTGAAACACACAAAGCACTCAACCCAATATTCTCGGTTACACCAAACCTAATTGAACGTTATCAACCCTAATCTAGATGATCACCCAATTGAAAAATGATTATGTGTAGTTCAATTGTGTGTATGCATAGAAGAAGGGATGAAGATGATGAGTAACTTTGTAATCTGATTTCATTTAGGTTTTATTTACTAGAAAACCTTACCTAGAAGAAGATGCATGTATGAATATATATATATATATATATATATATATATATATATATATATATATATATATATATATATATATATATATATATATATATATATATATATATATATATATATATATATGAAGAAAATGGGTAAAAGGATGCAAGAAAAATAAGATGCAAAAAGAATTTTTCAAGTTTTAACACACATAGGTCGGCCTATGAAGGTGTTCAGGCCGGCATGTGAGGCGACCTGAAATGCAGCCTGTGGGCAGAATCTACTGACTTCGTTCTTGGAGCGTAGGAGCCGACCTGAAACATGAATGTGTCTACCTATACTGAAGTTGAAGCTTCCATAGGTCGGCCTATGTTGTTGTTTTGACACACAAACTTGATTTTTGATGTGTATGACATGTCTAAGACCTATCAAACTTGTCCAAAGACTTTTTTTATGCATCCTAAAGCTAAGGGGACACTTGACCATCTAAATGTAGGTTGACATCGTCCAATATATAAGAGCACTACGATAAACTACCTTATTTCTTATTTGACATCATTTTAAAACTCGGTTGAATTTGTAGTTGCAAATTCTTAGCACTTACAATATATATATATATATATATATATATATATATATATATATATATATATATATATATATATATATATATATATATATATATATATATATATATATATATATATATATATATATATATATATATATATATATATATATATATATATATATATATATATATATATATATATATATATATATATATATATATATATATATATATATATATATATATATATATATATATATATATATATATATATATATATATATATATATATATATATCAGCTCACTTAGAAGTGTTGCAACAAAATCAGTTTAAATAACAATTAATTGTCACTCGAGTGACAATTGATTAGAATTGAAAAGAAAAAAAAAAGATTTGAATATATATATATATATATATATATATATATATATATATATATATATATATATATATATATATATATATATATATATTCAAATCTCTCTTTTTTTTCTTTTCAATTTTAATCAATTGTCACTCGAGTGACAATTAATTGTTATTCAAGCTGGTTTTGTTCCAACACTTCTAGGTGAGCTGATATCTTAACAAACATGAGATGTGATTCAAGCTTGTCATACATCACCCTGCTTCTCAAGTTGCACATTCTATTGATGATGATTGTGTTCGTTTACTTGTTGTGTAGTATCCCTATTTTGAGGTGGAACTCATTTAATAAAAAATTTAGGTGCTGAGAGAGATTGGATATGTGTTAAATAACAATTTAAAATTATTAAACAAATTATGTATACATAATAGACTCGTTCAACACCCAAAATCTGCCTTAGAAAAACACCCAAACCAGAAAACTCCATTATAAATACAATAAACTATTATATGTTAAATAACTGCTAATAAACACCCAAGACATGAAACTTGGACCAGAATGCCAACCAGCGTAAAGAGCTACATGTAACACAAAAATGTGAAATTAAAAGCATCAAAGACGGCCAAGAACTGTGAAAATTTGATAGTGGGACTTGTTAGTCCAAATTTTTACACTGAACAGAACAAAAAGACCTCACTACATTTATTCAATTCAAATTCAAGAGAAGAACAGAACTAACTCTGCTCCTGATACGAAAATCCAATTATAAACACACTCATATTTGTAAAACAAAAGAATCAATTCACAGGGAAAAATGAACTAATTATATGTCAAATCAGGATAATACCTAACTGGACAAAGTTGCTTAAACAAAAATACATAGAAGAATCTACCCTGCTGCTCTCTGGACCCTGCGAGTTTTTGATAGGATTTCCTTGAGATAGTCATTACGCTCTCTGTGATAATCAATCCACAAACAGAGCTGCCTAATGGCGTCCCTCTTTTCCTCTCCCAAACCTTCCTCTTTCTCTTTGACCAACTTCTCTAGCTCTTCAACTGTCTTCTTAAGCTCTTCAACTGTCTTCTTGAGCTCAACAACAGTTGCATTCACTTTGATATTCTCTGATTCGTCCTTTCTTGCCTTTGCCTCTAGCTTCTCAACCTTCTCCCTCAGAGATAATTCCTCTTCCTTTTTACCCTTCAGCTCCTCCAACAAACGATTTTTATCTTTCTCTAACTTCCCCTTAACCCTATTCATCTCGCAAACGTACTCTTTTGCAACCTGAAGCTCATGTGAGATGTTTGAGATGCTGTTCTCGTGATTTTTGGTTTCGTCTGAAAATTTTCTGCTCACAGTATCTATTCCGGATATCATAATGTTGACAGACTCTTTAATAGTTGTGATAGTTTCATGAAAAGCTTCATTGTTAGCTGTGATTCTTGCTACCAATGTAGCAACCTTATCTTCAAGTGCACTCTGTTTTTGCTTAAACTTTTCTTCGTTTTCATTTTGCAATTGCTCTGTGACCCGGAGCTTTTGGTTTGACATGCGAAGCTTTACCTCAAGATTCCTCACATTCTCAAGCAAAGTGCTGATCTCATCTCCTTTTTCTTCCAGGTCTCTTTTCAAGACTTCAACTTGGTGTTCCAAATCACCTACTATATGATCTTTTGACCCAATGCCTTCACGAAACTCTCCTGCTATTTCTTCTATCTTCCTCTCTGCAACTTCAAGTTTGACCTTGCATTCATTAAACCAACTGTCAACTTTTATATATTCCTCATTCAACTTCTGATATGCATCTTCACGTTCTTCCAATGTTCTCTGAAGATCCACGTTTTGGTTGGCTAATTTGGTCTTTTCATTGTCAACCACTGTGAGGGTTTCTGCATGTTCTTCTTTTATTTTTTTGCAGTAGAGCTCCAATTCTTCTTTTGTTTTCTGGGAGGAAAGTAAGTCCTTTTCCAGTTCATTTTTCTGAGCATGTAATGAGCTTATATCAGCCAGCAAATTGTTTATTTGAGATGTCAAATCTGATATTTTGGAAGATGATTCATCCTCATTATCTTTGAGTTTCTTCATGAGAGCAGATAGTTCCTCTTCTCGTTCTTTGGACCTTATTTCAAGTTCCGAATATTGGTTTCGCAACCCTAAATGATGCTCTCCCAGCTCCCTTGCTTCTGTGGTTAAACTTTCTCTGTGTTCCATAAGTTTCTCTTGTTCCAGGATTTTTCTTTCAACCTCTTCTTTCAGACTTTGGACTTGAATCAAGCACTCGGAATTTTCTCGGCTTTTTTCCACAAGCTGAACTTCCAAGTCAGATTTCTGGTGTTGTAGAGACTCCACTTCCTGCTGCAATACATTCATCTCATTTGTTATGCTTTCGATTCGAGTTGACGCTTCATTACTTCTAAAAACTATTTGCTCTTCCAGTTCATTTTTCTGAGCATGTAATGAGCTTATATCAGCCTGCAAATTGTTTATCTGAGATGTCAAATCTGATATTATGGAAGATGATTCATCCTCATTATCTTTGAGTCGTTTCATTATAGCAGACAGTTCCTCTTCTCTTTCTTTGAACTTTATTTCAAGTTCTGAAATTTGGTTTTGTAACCGTAAATTGTGCTCTCCCAGTTCCCTTGCTTCTCGGGTTAAATTTTCTCTATCTTCCATAACTCTCTCTTGTTCCAGAGTTTTTCTGTCAACCTCCTCTTTCAGACTTTGAACTTGAATCATACACTCGGAATTTTCTCTGCTTTTTTCCTCGAGCTGAACTTCCAAGTCAGATTTCTGGTGTTTTAGAGACTCCACTTCCTGCTGCAATACCTTCATCTCATTTGTAACGCTTTCAATTCGAGTTGATACTTCATTACTTCTAATAATTATTTGCTCTTCCTGTTCATTTTTCTGAGCATGTAACGAGCTTATGTCAGCCTGCAAATTGGCTATCTGATATGTCAAATCTGATACCTTGGAAGATGATTCATTCTCATTATCTTTGAGTTTCTTCGCGATGACGGATAGCTCCTCTTCTCTTTCTTTGGACTTCGTTTCAAGTTCCAAAATTTGGTTTTGCAACCTTAAATTGTGATCTCCTTGTTCCCTTGCTTCTGTGGTAAACCTCTTAAGTTGTTCCTCTATTTGTCCTTTCTGGTTTTGCAATGACTCTAGTTCCAGCCCCAGATTTGAGATTTGTGCTTCTAGTTCCTTGATATGATTTGACGACTCATTCTGATGCCCTTTATGCATTTGAGTGAGGGTTGAAACTTCTCTTTCTCTCTCATCAAGTTTCTCCTTTAACTGACTCGATTCAGCTAGAAATTGATTCTCTATATCTCTTTTCTGGTTTCGCAATGACTCTAGTTCCAGCCCCAGATTTGAGATTTGTGCTTCTAGTTCCCTGATTTGATTTGAGGACTCACTCTGATGCCCTTCATGCATTTGAGTGAGGGTTGAAACTTCTCTTTCTCTCACATCAAGTTTCTCCTTTAACTGACTTGATTCAGCTAGAAATTGATCCTCTATATCTCTTTTATGGTTTCGCAGTGACTCTAGTTCCAGCCCCAGATTTGAAATTTGTGCTTCTAGTTCCTTGATTTGATTTGAGGACTCATTCTGATGCCCTTCATGCACTTGAGTGAGGGTTGAAACTTCTCTTTCTCTCTCATCAAGTTTCTCCTTTAACTGACTCGATTCAGCTAGAAATTGATCCTCTATATCTCTTTTCTGGTTTCGCAGTGACTCTAGTTCCAGCCCCAGATTTGAGATTTGGGCTTCTAGTTCCTTGATTTGATTTGAGGACTCATTCTGATGCCCTTCATGCATTTGAGTGAGGGTTGAAACTTCTCTTTCTCTCTCATCAAGTTTCTCCTTTAACTGACTTGATTCAGCTAGAAATTGATCCTCTATATCTCTTTTCTGGTTTCGCAGTGACTCTAGTTCCAGCCCCAGATTTGAGATTTGTGCTTCTAGTTCCTTGATTTGATTTGAGGACTCATTCTGATGCCCTTCATGCATTTGAGTGAGGGTTGAAACTTCTCTTTCTCTCTCATCAAGTTTCTCCTTTAACTGACTCGATTCAGCTAGAAATTGATCCTCTATATCTCTTTTCTGGTTTCGCAGTGACTCTAGTTCCAGCCCCAGATTTGAGATTTGGGCTTCTAGTTCCTTGATTTGATTTGAGGACTCACTCTGATACCCTTCATGCATTTGAGTGAGGGTTGAAACTTCTCTTTCTCTCTCATCAAGTTTCTCCTTTAACTGACTTGATTCAGCTAGAAATTGGTCCTCTATATCTCTTTTCTGGTTTCGCAGTGACTCTAGTTCCAGCCCCAGATTTGAGATTTGTGCTTCTAGTTCCTTGATTTGATTTGAGGACTCATTCTGATGCCCTTCATGCATTTGAGTGAGGGTTGAAACCTCTTTTTCTCTTTCATCAAGTTTCTCCTTTAACTGACTCGATTCAGCTAGAAATTGATTCTCTATATCTCTTTTCTGGTTTCGCAGTGACTCTAGTTCCAGCCCCAGATTTGAGATTTGGGCTTCTAGTTCCTTGATTTGATTTGAGGACTCATTCTGATGCCCTTCATGCATTTGAGTGAGGGTTGAAACTTCTCTTTCTCTCTCATCAAGTTTCTCCTTTAACTGACTTGATTCAGCTAGAAATTGATCCTCTGTATCCCTTTTCTGGTTTCGCAGTGACTCTAGTTCCAGTCCCAGATTTGAGATTTGTGCTTCTAGTTCCTTGATTTGATTTGAGGACTCATTCTGACGCCCTTCATGCATTTGAGTGAGGGTTGAAACTTCTCTTTCTTTCTCATCAAGTTTCTCCTTTAACTGACTTGATTCAGCTAGAAATTCTTGGATTCTGCTTTGAGACAGCTGAACCTCATTCGAAGCCTGCGAAAGTTCAGCTTTTAATGATTCATTTTCTTCTTTTGTGACCTCCAGATTGTTGCTTATAGCTGTTATTTTCTGTTCTGAGTGTTTCAATTCCTGCTTCAGAATAGAAAGTTCATCTGTTACTGTTTGTAAATCTTTCGCAGCCACCAACTTATCATCTTTCAGCTGATCAATGAGGTTTCTGAGGTCCTCTGTAATCTTCTTTTCCTCGGCAATCTGTTGGAGAGCAGTCTCTTTCTCCTTTGCCAAGCTATTGTTTTCTGTCTTCAAATCCTCTAATCTTTGATTCAGTTCAGCTTCTACTTTTCCAGCAATGTCCAATTTCTTATTTAGTTCAGTACTCTCAGCCAAGAGGTTTGATCTTTGAATCTCTAATGCATCGGCATCGGTTTTCAAGTCCAAATTCATTTTCTCTGCTTCTTGTAACTTGTTCAGTGCTGCTAGGTGTTTTGAATTTAGTTCCTCCTTCTCTTCATGTGTAATTGTCAACTTCTGATTTAATTCAGCGACTTCCTTGTGCACCACTTCAAGTTCTTGCTTTAATTCATCATTTATCTTTTGAAATTCATTTTGCAGTTGTCCATTTTTGCTGTCTCTGTCCTTTGAAGAATAATCCGAATCCGAGCCAGAGCTAGATGAAGAACTAGATGAAGAACTTCCCTTTTCTCGCTTGCCCTTGATGCTTTTCTTTAACTCGCCTGTCAGATGATCATACTGTGTATAAAGCGATTGGTATTGATCGTGGAAATCCTCAATCAGTTCAGCAAGTTGTCCCCTCTTCAAATTTTCTGCTGGGGTACCATCCTCTTCAATGTTGTCGTCATCTTTAATAAGTTTCAATAGCTTTTTCACTTTGTCTTCAAATTCTGTAAGAAAAGTAGAAAAAAAATCCAAATCATTTGTTCGATCACCATTAGGTGATATACATAAATCATAGCATATTTTGCATCGTGATCTTCCATAAATCATGTCATGGGGAAGAGTGTAATTCTTGATTGAGATCGTACCTGTTTTAGCTCCCCGGAGCTGCTCTTCTTTATCAGGATCAACATGACTTCCAATCAGCGATTTTATAGATTCTCTCAAGTGATGTTTCACCATCTTCTCCACTGATATCAATTTCTTAGTAATATCAAGTCAAATATAATCTGTTCACCATGTAGGCTCCAGGAAGTGAAGAGCTGAAAATTTAACCCAGTTATCTGTTAATGTAAAAAGCTGAAAACTGTAAAATGAATTATTTTAAGAAATATGTGATCTATAATTGTATATTTTTAGTTTTTTGACATAAGATGATGTACATGTTCAATCTTTCGGCCCGATCTCTATACCATAAAAGATATTTAGTTAAAGCAGTTTCTACCACAAGAGGAAAGGTGTAATACTATGATATGGTAATCAAAACATATCCAGAAAATCTATCGCAGAAACTTGTTGCAGGGAAAACAAAAAAAAATATTGAAATATAAGATTGCATAATTATTTGTGGTCCATTCGAACTAGCCACTACAAAATTTAAGGGCCAAAGAAAAGGTGAATAAGTGTAATTGTTTGGCTCAATTCAGTATCAAAATTATAGTACTAGATGCAGTTGCCATCATTACTGTTACTAAACCAAAATGTGAATCACTAATCTTCTCAGAGTCTGGTCCCAAACTCCTAAAAGCTTTTAATTATCGCAGCACTGGTCCAACAAGATTCTACTCCCTCCCTCTGTCCCATATTATAAGTCACCTTTTTAAATTCATTAAATAATTGATGTATTTGATCTATATATAAATCAGATACATTAATTATTTAATAAATTTAAAAATGTGAAATTTACTTATAATATGAAACGGAGTGAGATTAAATTATCAATTTTAAATTTTAAAACAAATAAAAACAAAAAGAAGAGAAAGAAAAGGAGACACTGATCAAAACAACTCAGCTACACTCTGGCGCCACTACTACAATTTCAGGAATCTTCCAAGAATTAAGTTTTTTTATTAACAAAAAACAATAACTCTGTAATAATACAACTGCTCCACAAAGAAAAAATGGAGAAAACATACTTATATAGTTATCATGGTTTTAAATAACAGTCGCAACTGCGTAAAAGTTTTCGCAATTTCGGTCCGTATAGATGTTGCGACACCTATTGTGGTCGTCGCGAATTGAATTAATCACAATTTATTTTTTGCCATAAAAAAAGTATCTGGTGCCGATACCGTTTTGTCGCAGCGGTTTCGCAGTAACTCACCGTTTTTTAAAACCTTGATAGTTACATACATAATTCCTAAAATCGATGCTAAATATTCTTATAATTGTCACTGTTTTGGTAAAATTTGAATAAGTACCTTAAAAATATACTTTCAGTTTTCCTTCTATCTCCTCTTCTGAATCTGTTAAAGAGAAGGAAAAAACATATAAAAAAACAAACAAAAACAAATAGAAATTCTAAAATATACAATTGATTTTGAATAGCTGCTATATAGTTTTCTTCGCAATCAATTTTTTCTCTTAAATTTCAAAGTAAACTAAAGAACATAATCATCAAAAAATCATCTCCATCTTCAATAAAATTAATAACACAATAAATTATCCAGATTAAGGATCAAGATACAAACTGAACTAACTTCAAATCAAAACCACATGCAAAAGCGGAGAATACAAAGAAACACTAATAACTAATCAATGATCAAACTAGAAACCGAAGAGAATAAAATTGAAGCTTACATGAATTCAGTTTCAATCAAATTCTGCTGATCTGAACGAATCCAGAAGCTAAAACCAAAGAGCTTCTTCAACAGCTTCAACTACAACAAAGGATCCAGAATTGAATTTCAATTTGAAACGTAACTGAAAATTTTGAAGGAAAAAAAACGGATTTCACAGTTGTTTGTTACCTGAGAGAGTTGAAAGGAAGACGGTGAAGATTGAAAGAGAGTTAATGCAGGAGAGAACACTTAGAGAAAATAATTTGATTTTGTTTAAATAATAAAATGAAATGAAAAGTGGTTTTGTTTGGATTAGAGCGCTCTAAAGATGTGCCAGCATTTTTCACCTTCAAATTTCGTGAATGGAATCTTTGGATTGATATTGGGATGTTTGCCCTCTTTTTTATCTTTTATTACGATAGTGCCATTGCATGTTTTTCGGGGCTTATTTTCTTGCGCGGGGAGATGCTGCCGACTTGTCATCATGGTTATTTTGAAATTTCTACTCAATTTCTTTTATATATCGAAATGATTGGAAATGTAAAATTTGAATTTAAATTAATTCGATCTATTAATTATTTTTAAAAAGTTATATTTTTTAATCAAGTTTAAATATTTTAATGGAAAATTTATTCTGTTTTTTATTAATGTAATGTAAAATTTTATACTAATTAGATTTAAATAATTTTTAAAATAAAATAATTGCAATCAAATAGTAAACTATTTTATTTTTAAAAATATTGAAAAATAATAACATGTCATAAGGCATGAGTTAATTAAAATATAAAAAAAAATGTTGAAAATGGTGCATTCAAAGTTGTTTTAAATTAAAATTATTCAATTCAAATAGATAAATTATATTGTTTTTTAAAAGAAATATAATTATCCACCAATTAAGGTAGATGGATAATAAATTGTGTTCCTACTCTTTTTAAATGATAAATTTAATCTTTTAAAAACTTAAATTCATAATTCAATATTGAAAAGTCATAATTATTAAATACAAATAGTATAAAAACATTGAATATGTTTATTAATAATTAATCATTTACTCAAAGAGATTCAACAAAATTTGATTTAGGGGAAGTTTGAACCTAATGGCACTATCAATTAACATATAAAAAAAAATACTTACATTTTTAGTGAATATTATAAACAAAAATTTATTAAATAGTAAATGTATACGATTTTTATATTGGATAAATATATCGCTAATTCAGTGAATGTAATAGTTTTATTTTTATAATAGTGCTTACATAAATTATCTTAGACACAAATTTAAAAAATTAAATATAAACAATTTTGTTTGATAAATTGTTCTTTAATTTCTTTTAAATAATTTTTTTTCTAATACATAATTTAGAGTGCAAAAAATAATTATGATGGATTGTCCGTCTCAAACATGTGTTTGAATCAATTTTATAAGTATGAACTTCACTCAATATCCGAAGAAACCTAATAACTTACGAATAAAAAAACACAATTCAAAGACAATATTAAATTGGTTGCAAGTCAAACAACAAAAAGTTAATTTTTTATTTTTATGAGAAAGTAATGAACAATTTTTTAGAAAACTTCATAAGCTCTAAGATTTACAAATCAAGACCGTTCGAATCCAAAGACATCTAAAATAAAATTGCAAATTCATGCAATAAAAAAATGCACAAATATCAATATTTTTTTAATTTGTAGGTTCATTTTTAAGAAATTCGCTGGGATTGAATTGAATTTTATATTCAATTTTTAAAATCAAATCAAATCACTTATGCATATTTTAATACTTAATTATTTTTTATTAGTATAATATGATCTATTTATTTATTATTTTATGCATATTTTCATATTTAATTATTTTTTATTAGTATAATATGGTCTATTAATTTATTATTTTATGTTTTGATAATAATGTTTAATAGTTTAAATCAATCTACATTTTACTATTTCATATTTCATAATATTTATTTTTACTGTATTATATGTTATATTTTATATAAATTTATGAATTTAATTTGAATGATGTTACATGTCAACTAATTGTAACAGTCAAATCTTTAATTATATTTTATTTTTATTTTAATTATATCTTATGGATGGTTGCGATTGTGTAAAACTTTTTAAATTTGTAATTTAGGTATTTAAATTAAAGTGCACAAGATTGGATTATTTTAAATTAAACTTTTTATATAAATTGTCGAAATCAAATCAAACAAAATGTATATTTATTACTTAATTGAATGATTTTTTTACACTACTATAAATCACATATGTTTATAAAAAAATTAGTCACCTTAAATTTTCAACGCATAATTATAAAAATTTATTGTCTTACAAATTAATCAACAAATAATTTATCCTACAAACAATATATATATATATATATATATATATATATATATATATATATATATATATATATATATATATATATATATATATATATATATATATATATATATATATATATATATATATATATATATATATATATATATATATATATATATATATATATATATATATATAAGAGTGACATTTTTATGTGAGAACATGAAAATGAATATAATCATTAGATTTAAAATAAATGAGTCACAGAAGAGAATATTAATTTTCAAAAATATAATATTTTAATTTAATTCATTTATTTTAATAATAGAGGAGAGAGAAAATAAAAATGACACATAATCTTACTCATTATTTTAAATCTAATGGTTCAGATTCATTTTCATATTTTTACATAAAAATGACATTCTCATATATATATTGTTCCGGTATGGGCCCAACCTCGGCAGGCCCAATACCGCGTGCGGCCCAACAAGCGAACCGGGCACGCCGGGCACGCGCTCCCCTCGAGACGAGCAGGGCAAGCCGCCGAACACAAGCTACGTCTCCACAACCTTTTGTCGTCCACCACACCGAACGGGCAGAACCGCCCCCGGCTCGCCAAAGCGCGGCCCTTGGCTCCTCGCTTCGGCGGGAAGAATAACGCACTCCGGGGAACCGCCCGAGCTCCCCTCCGCGGGGAGGACAACGTGCTCGGCGCACGTTCTCCACGTGCTCCCCTCCGCGGGGACACATCACCAGCCAACTGCCCACCTCCGAAAGAGCAGGTCAAACCCACCTTCCGGAGATCTAGGAGCGGTTGAACTAGGGCGAAGACCACGTCCTGGTCTTCACTACGCCACGTAAGCCCTAGCAGTCATTAGGGTTGGGCCTGGTCATCCAGCCCGCCTCAAATGACCGTTGGCCCAGCGCTGGGGTCTCTCTATAAATACCCTCTTCCTCAAGAGGGTCAGGTAACTCTTCTTGCCCTTTCTCTGTACTATTGCTTCCACTCTGCCCAGCTTCTTACTTTGGCATCGGAGTGTCTTGCAGGTACACCCCCCTCCTCCTTCTCACCCCGGT